TGGATTGGGCTGACCCAAGGCTTCGATCCGATCCATTTCATATTCAGCCCCTTTCATTTGCCCCCTAGCTCGCACTAAGGTTCTCCTTAGGGAGAGCTACTACTCTACACTCCAAGTGTCGCGTCACTTCAGATCTGTCCCAGGTCGGCCTTAGTAACGGTTCGATCCTGACACACGCCTCTTGTCAGCGTCTTCCCATGGTGACACGTGGCGGCGTGGTACTAGTGCGCAGTGATAATGCACCGATTTCACACAGATGGGCATGATTGTGTACTTTCACGTTGGTTGAGGGCAATAAATGCTCTAGGGGTGTCAATTCAAACCCCTTCGTCTATCTCCAAACTTTAGAGAGTCCAAAACCCTTTTGGTTTCTCTGCCTTGGTTTCGACAGTGCTCTGCCCAGACGTTCCGTTGCCATTGTTGCTGCCACTCTCATTCTCGTTTCAAGGCTCTCTACTTGTCGCTACTGTTTTAATCTCTGTAAATTCCCCTAAAATTTATCTTTTCTTCTACTTTTCATCTTGATCGCCCTCTTTGGCTCTTGCACCATTGTTTTTGGTGTCTGGTTCTACTCCTTGCTTAGTTTTAGTTTTGTTTTCGCCCTACTAGGTCTGAATAAAGGGAAAATTATGGCATCCCCAACGATGTGACCCTTTCGCTAGCGAAGGTTAATGCCAAATGCATGGGCATTAGAAGTACCGTTGCTTTCCCAGTCGCTGTCATTGTTGAAGAAGGGGTCCGATTTCCCTTCGATCCCTTGGTGCGCCGTTTCCTGCACCAAGTTCAGCTTACCCCTGTGCAGGTGTTTGTTAATTTGTTCTGAGTTGTTTGTGGCGTCTCCGCTCTTAACAGGCGGTTGGGTTTAAACTTGGGACATCTGGGACATTTTGAGTTGCCATACGCTTTCCCATAACAAGGATCATAGCATTTATTATCTCCGTGTTCGCTTGGCCGATTGTTATCTTGTAACTGGCTTACTTGATTCGGACAAACACAATGACAATTTTCTACAAGTCGGTGGTAATTGAGAGTTTCTTGTTGGGACTGAGTTCTAATCTGAACGGATGTCCCAGAAAGATGGTTATCCAGGTCCGAGTCTTTCTTCCTAGTGTTTTCTGCATTTTTACCTTGTTTTGAATGTTGTTTTAACGTTGTTCCTCATTTCTACAGAAGCTTCCCGTTTTCAGCGTAGGCCGAACCGAGAGAATGCCGAACACCGAGGCCATCAAGGCTATTTTGAGGTATAAGAAGAGGTCTGCGCCCGAACTACTGGACTACCCGGCGACTTATCGTTCCACTATCCTGAAGAAAGTGAGGCTCACTGCATCTCTTTTGGATTCTGATACTGAAACTGACATGTCCTTTACCCCTCTGGTTACGAACTGTCGCTGAGGCCAGAGTTTGCCATCTGAGAGGACACCTTCTTTTGCCCCCAGTTTCACAGGGGGTGGGTCAATGTCAAAAAGGAGAGTACTAGTGAACTTGGAAGCGGAGGCTTTTGGCTCTTTTGATGTTTTGGGAGCCCCTTTGATTAAGGCCGAACCAAAGAACCTTATGGATGTGAAGTTGGAGATAGGGGCCTCTAGCCCTTATGCTGCTGCTGCCGAACCCTCTGCCTCAGTTGCTGCAAGAGCGAAAAAGAGGAAGAGGGAGACTGGCAAGGCAGTAATTGGAGAGGCTTCTGAAGATCTTGTTGAGGATGAGTCGTTTAAAAAGTAGGAGCCGCCAATGTTGCATCAGGGAAGACCCATTTCTATTTCTGATTCAGTCGTTGTTTCTAGAGACTTTGCTTTTGACCTAATCAAGACTTTGTTAATGCCAGTAAACATGGCAGATCACAACGGGCCTCGTCATATTCTAGTTCTAAAGGGGACCCTTCAAATGATGACTGATGTAAGTGTTTCTAGATTCTTTTGGTGTTCTTTTACTGCTTGTTTTCTTTTAATATCTTGTTATTTGCTGTAGTGTATTCAGAGGATGCACCTGTCAATCACCAGAGTTGAGGAACTGGAGAAGTCCATACTAGAGGCCGCCATGAATGCTGAAAGACTATCAGTGAATTTGGAAGCCGAGAATGAGGGATGCAGGACTGCTGAGAGGGAGGTATTTCGTTTGAGTAAGGTTATCACCTCGGCCAAGAAGTCCAAGGAAGTTGTCATTGGGGTCTAGGCCCAACTTGAAGGGAAGGTGGCTGAGCTGGAGGCAGTTATTGTAGTGATGGCCGCTGAATGCTTTGCTTTGGAGGCTAAGTATTGGCAACAAGGTTGGGATGAAGCTAGGGTCGCTTACAAAGAAGAGGTGCCGGTATTACGAGATAAGCTTTTTCTGAAAGACTGGACAAGTGCTCTGGCCGTTGCTCAAATTCCTGAAAGGTCTTCATTGTTTCAAGATATTCATGTTCCCTTAAAGTCCTTGGGTCTGAAGGATGCTGTTACCCCTATTGTTCTTCCAGTTAAGATTTCCCCAAGAACTGATTCTGTAACCAAGACTCTAGAGAGCGATACTGCTAATGAGACGATGAACGTTGAAGGGGGTGAAACCTTGGAAATTGAAGCTGTGGGAGATATGGTTAAGGAGGCTTTTACTTCTCAGGAAGTTGAAGTTACCTCTACTTTTCTTTCCCAAGATAGCCTAGATAAGATTGTGGATGCTACTCCTGAAGTTCCTCTTTCTGTTGAAAGTTGAAATGACCTATGGAACGATTTGAAGTTTTTCCTTTTACATTTTGCTTTTTCTCTCTTTTTTTATTTATTTTTATTTTTTTTATTACTTTTTTGCTGTACTGGGGCTCGGTCTTCCTGACGAGTTGCCCCCTTAAGTTGGTCAAGACAATTTCTATTTCTTCTTGCTACTATTTTGTGGGGCCAACTGTGCCTTTGATAAAATTTCATTTCTGATATTGCAGTTTGATATGTTTTGCTTTCATACTTGCGTTGTTCATATTGTTTGCCCCTGGCCGAGCACTGTTGGGTCCACGGGGCCGAATAGATGCTCGATCTTTGTGGTTAAACTGATCTTTGTAATTGAATGAGAGTAACTTACTTAGGTCCAGGTTGACTTCAGGAAAAATAATTGTTGGCCCCCATTTCGAGCTAAGTAAGATTGGTACCGAAGAATTCGCTCTCTGGGAGAGCTGCTTTAGTCGAAGTTAATTGTAATAGCATAAGTGCCATTGAATGGGACAAAAAGATACAGAGGAAATATGTCATACTCAGGTCTAGGTTGGTACCAAGAAAATAATTGTTTGCCCCTGCCTAGAGCTGAGTAAGACTGCTGTTGAAAGTTTGATCTTTGAAGGATTTAACCAAGTCTGTCCCAACTTTGTTTGGGTGCAGCGGTACTGAGGTGTTGATGTGATGATACTTAAGAAGTTCTGTGATTGCCAAGAAAAAGAATTAGGCATCAAAAAATTTGTTACGGCGGTTTCCACCAAGGAGTTCCACTTGGCTAAGATCCATTTTGGTGGCCAAAGATAACTCCACCAAGCAATCCCACTTGGCATGTTTGAGTGCGGACCAAAACTAAATTTCGTTCAGTCGTTTTGAAACTTTTTCCATTTAGTGAAAACCAAAGCTAAATCTGTTTGATAAACACCAAAACTAATTCCGTTTGGTAAACACCAAAGCTAAATTTGTTTATTTTGAAATATGCCTCTAGGGCTTAGGGTATAAAGTCCAAGTTAAGCAATAATCTATTCTGAACACAAAGCTGTATAGGTGCTTGGAAACGAAAGTTCAAAGAAAAAGGAAGGCGGACATTTTCATTAAGCAAAAGATAAATGCTTTTACACTTGATAGATAATTGTGGGATTTAGTCTATTGATAGTACTTTTTGAGGTTTGCTACATTCCATGGCCGAGGTATGGCCTTGCCCTTGATATCCTCTAAGTAGTATATTCCATTTCTAGCAACGACTGTAACCTTATATGGACCTTCCCAGTTAGGTCCTAATTTTCCTTTACCAGGCACCCTTTTGTGATCCATGACTTTCCTCAAAACCAGTTCCCCAGGTGTGAATTGCCTTGGGAAAACATTTTGGTTGAAACTTTTGATGAGCTGCTGTTGATAGGCTACAAGTCTGATCAGTGCTGCTTCTCTTCGGTCTTCTGCCATATCCAGTGCATGTGCAATAGTTTCCTCATTACTTGCATTTTCAAACAGTTCCGATCGAAGGGTTGGGAGGCCAACTTCAAGTGGAATAACAGCCTTCATTCCGTAAGTTAGGGAGTATGGTGTTTCCCCCATTAAGCGTCATGCCGTGGTTCGGTAGGCCTATAATGCGTGGGGTAACTCTTCAACCCACTTCCCTTTTGCACTTTTAAGCCGCTCTTTACTCCATTGATGATGGTTTTGTTCGACGCTTCTGCCTGCCCATTACTCTATGGGTAGCCTGGAGAGGAGTTCCGATATTCGATCCTAAGGTTGACACAAAATTTCCTGAAGATCTTTCCCTCAAACTGTGTTCCATTGTCTGTAATTAGTACCCGCGAGATGCCGAAACGGACCATGACGTTCTTCATGAGAAACTACTTTGTGCTTCAACTTCAACCCACTTGGTGAAATAGTCGATTGTAGCAATGAAGAATCGTCTGTTCCCAGTGCCCTATGCCAAAGGTCCAACGATATCCAGACCCTATTGGGCAAAGGGCCACAGGCTAGTGAGTGAAGTAAGAGTTTTGGCTGACTGATGAATTGGTGGAGCAAACCTCTAACACTTGTCATATTTCTGAACGTACTGTTGTGCATCTTGCTGCATTCTTGGCCACCAGTACCCATGAGTGAGGGCTCAGTGCACCAATGACCTTCCACCAACGTAGTATCCATAAATCCCGTCGTGAATTTCGTAAAGAATATTTTCGACTAGATTTGGATGCACGCATAACAGATAAGGACCGAGGTAAGAGTGTCGGTATAGCTTCCTAGATAGTAAGACCCAAAATCGAGCTGATCTGTGTCGAACTTTGTTGGCTTCCCTCTTGTCTTCGGGGAGAGTGCCAGTTTTTAGAAAAACAAGTATCGGATCCATCCAGCTTGATCTAGGTTATTGCAGAGGACTGGAGATGTAATGTTTGGTTCTGGCACAAACTCAACCCAAACTTTTCTAGTATCTTTGGCATCTACTGATGAGCCGAGGCAGGCCAGAGCATCAGCATGACTGTTTCTGTCCCGTTTGATTTGTTCCACCCGTATGGATTGGAATTTTTTAAGTAGATCTCTTGCCCTGTCTGCATACATGGCCATTCTTTCGTCTCGTGTTTCATAAACCCCAGTGAGTTCGTTGACGACCAACTGAGAATCGCTGAAAAGCAGAAGTTGTTTTGCACTGAAGTGTTCGGCACTGCGTAAACCAGCTAACAGTGATTCGTATTCTGCATCATTGTTAGAAGCCTTCCAACCAAGCCTGAGAGCTTGCTCCCAGACAAATCCTTCTAGGGATATAAGTACTACTCCTTCCCCCAAGCCTCGGTTATTGGATGATTCGTCAATGTAGAGCTACCAGATGTTACCAATGAAGAGTTTCCATGCTTCTGAAGCGCATTGCTTTCCTAGTTCGGTGGTGCGTGGCACTTGTACCGAGCTGGAGTTTTTGTGTTTGGTGCTCTGGATGGGAGCGAATTCAGCGACAAAATTTGCCAAGACCTAGGCCTTGATTGTTGTTATGGGTTGATATCGAATGTCAAAATCACCAAGCTCAATCGCCCATTTCGCTGTTCTGCCGGAGAAATCGACTCAGCTGAAGACAAATCTGAGGGGGAATTCAATGAGGACATTAATGCTGTGACCCTGAAAGTAATGTTATAGCTTCCTTGAGGCGATAAGCAGTGCATAAGCCAGCTTCTCCAAGGGCAGGTACCATGTCTCGGTATCTAGGAGACTCTCGCTAATGTAGTACACTAGCCTCTGTTCCTTTTCAACCTAGCGAATCAGTACTGCGCTTACAGTATGATCTGAAACTGCCAGATACAGGTACAGTTCTTCTCCTAGTTCTGGAGTGAACAGGAGATGTGGTGTACTAAGATACTTCTTCAGGCCTTGCAGTGCCTTGGTACATTCAGGACCCCATTCGAATGTAGCCTTTTTCTTTAGTAGCTAAAAGAAAGGCTTCATTTGATCTGAAGACTTGCTAATGAACCGATTCATGGCGGTTGCCATTCCGGCCAGCTTTTGTAGCTCCTTAGCCTTTGTTAGCACTTCGAGCTCTTGTATTGCTTTGATTTGATCTGGATTTGCCTCGATTCCTCTGTGAGTCACCATGTACCCCAAGAACTTCTCTGTTTCTATCCCAAAAGTTCATTTTCGAGGCATTGAGGCAAAACTGATGGTTTTTCAAGATATTAAAAACTTCTCTCAGGTTTGTAAGGTGGTTTGTAGCAAGCTTGCTTTTCACAACCATGTCATCTATGTAAGCTTCCATAGTCCTTCCGAGCTACTCCTTGAACATTCGAGTGATCATTCACTGGTAGGTTGCTCTGGCATTCTTGAGGCCAAATGGCATTACTTTATAGCGGTAGGTGTAGACACCCCATTTTTGACCGACCTTAAGAATCAGACGTCACTGATTGAACACTCGGTGATATTGCATATTGCGCTCGTTCAGAAGTTTCAGAGTCCCGGCTGCAAGCCTTGCCTCCGGACTTCTGGACTCTTTCGTGCCTTGCCTCGGTTTGCGAATCAGGCTCTATTTTCTCTGTTTTCTCTTCCTGAAGGGAGGAAGAGGTCTCGTAGACCATCTCTCAGTGGCCGTAGGCTACGTTTCGCGGTCGTAGGCCATTTTTCCCGTTTGGAGCCCGGTTTCTAGTTTTTCGGAGCCGTTGGCCGTGTGCCTCAGTTCGGGACCGCGTAACCACCTCCGTTTGCTCCGGTTTTTGGCACACATCTTATTTCCTCCCTTTAGAGGGACACTGTGGCTCGAGAGACCAACTTCGTGGTCAAACGCCACCTCCGGTGCTTAACAGTCAGTTTTTGGGGCCCCCGGCTGCGCGTTTTGGCCCCGAACCTTCGTTTTGCATCGGTTTGGGTCCATTTTTGGTGGAGACCTTATTTTCATTGTTAGAAAGGTTGTAGGAGAGTGGGAGGCCAGTAATTTTTCTGAAAAACCAGCTTTTTTTTGGTCAAAAGTGATTCTGCATGAATCCGGGAAGGAGGAAAACATTGCGCGGCTTCACCGAAACGAGCATAACTCTTTGCATACTTGGATTTAAGATATGAGGTTACCACCATTGGAAAGCTTACTTCCGGGGCTTCATTTTTCACCAAGAATCTCCTAAGGACAAGTTCGGGTGGGGGAGATATGATTGGTTAAAATTCGTTTGGACCGAATCTGCGCGGCTTCACCAAAACAGGCATAACTTTTTGCACAGGAGGAATTTTGATGCAAGGTTTGCGGCATTGGAAAGCTAACTTCCAGGGCTTCATCCTAGGGGTGGCCGGCCACCTTGACCCTTTTGACCTGGTCGGCCGGCCACATGAACTGGTCGTCCGGCCACCTTGCCTGGCCGGCCGGCCACCTGAACCTTTTGAACCTGGTCAGCCATTTTTGCCCTCTTGAGTGTGTTCCAGCTGTGCCAGCTGTTCTGCATTTGACCCACTGTCCGAAGGTCTTTCCTTTTGGGGGGAAATTTGAATTCATTTTCCCCCCCTTTTTCCTCCCCTCCTCCCTCTATAAAACCAGCACTTCCAGCTGCATTTGAGAGGGTTAGAAAAATTGTTTTGAGCTTGGTATACACATCTCTCTCTATCCCTCTCATTCAAGCTTCAAAATACCTTGGTTCTTGGCCATTTCTACATCAACTCCTAGCCTATCAATCTACACTCCATTCCGGCAACTTGAGGCTGCTTTCCAGAGGTGAAGAGCTCCCAAACTTGGCCCAAAAGTTGTTGAAGCTTGGCTCTACAAGGGTGAGTCCCTTTTTCCCTCTTTCTTGTCTTGTTTTGCATGCTATCTAAGCCATACTTGCAAGCTTTTTTGGGCTCCGACCCAAACTGTAAATAGTCATATTTTGACCCACTTTTCATGTTTGATCAAGGACCTCCGGCTGTTTGAGATCTCCTACTATCACTTGCCTCTTTATCTCTCTTTTAGGCCAATTTTTGCATAGTATTTTAAGCTTATTTGTGAGCTGTTTTGGACTTTTCCATAAATAGTGAAATATCTTTTTTTGAGCCCCTCTTCAACATTGTTGAAGGGCTCTCCTCTGTTTGAGAACAGAAGCTACCACTTGTCTCTTTACCCCTATTTTAGGCCTTTTCTTGCATGATAGTTTGGCCTTATTTTTGATTATTTTCGTGGCTTGATGTAAACTGTAAAGTGCCTTGTTTTGAGCCCCTCTTCAACTTTGTTGAAGGGATCTTTTCCATTTGGGGTCAGCTTCTGTCCCTTGTGTTTAATCTCTCCTTTAGGGCCATTTTTGCATGATAGATTAGCCCTATTTGTGTTCATTTTTGAGGCTTGTTATAAACTAGAAATATGCATGTTTTGAGACTGTCTTGCATCTGTCTTCATGCTTCATGATCAAATAATGCATACTTTGTATAGCTGTAAGTCATTCCATATGCCTAGTTTCGAATTTCGGGGTTCGTTCCATGCATCGGGTGCCATGTTTCCATGTTTCGGGGCTGTTTTGTATCATATTTCAGTGCTGAAATTTGAATATTTGCATATCATGTTCCATGCCTTGCCATGCTTTGGGTAGAGTGACATTTGATGCCTTAGGATTGGTCCTCGGTTTGCGTGCATGTGTGCACGCATTTCGAGTGTCTCTTTTTTATCTCATGGCTACTGATGTGAGTGTGGCTGAGATCCACTCATGTTGGTGTAAGTCCATTGTGCATTGTGTATGCCATTTCAATTCATAGCATTGCATATGCTAGGTTGTATGTTAGAGCATTGTGTATGCCTTGTTACATCGTGCATTGTGTATGCCATCTCATAGCATTGTGCATGCTAGGCTGTATATTAGTTGCATTCATGCATGTCATGCATATTGCATTGTGTTTGGGATAGGAGTTAGCCCGAGCACGGGAAACGAGCGACGTTTCGTACTTCGAGTGATGGAACGTGTTTCAATTCCCAGTCACCGACACTCCGGATTATCCATGATGGAGTCTAGGCCTTGTTGTGTTTATATGTGCATTCATTTCATATTGAGTCGTGCAATTCGACTCCTCGGCCATCATGCATTGATATGCGTGATTGGTGGCACGAGGATCGAGGACTACACTCCCCGAAGAGTAGTCATGCATACATATGTGAAAATACTTTGCCATGCCCCTTTGTTGCTCTCTGTTGCAGCAAGTCAGAAATCGACAGCCTTTCGAAGCTTGGCACGCATTCCAAGAATAATTGCAAACAGAGGCAAACCGGGGCATCACAAGGGATTTTCCGACAAAGGCAACCGGAGCATGCATCATTCATCATCCGAAGCAGATTTTGGAGGCAATCCCTGGCTTGCATGCCATTATTGCTTTCCTAATTTAATTTGTTAATTACTTAGGGTTTTGTACATATTTGGACTATAATTATTCATTTGGGACTGTATATTATTTATTTGGACCCTCTGTGCGAGGGCAATGTTGTAATAAGTGTGCGTGTGTGTGATGTATGTCTTCCAACCCCACGTCTTTCTTCCTTTTATTTACCCGTTTATGATGGTTAGATTAGGGCATGTTTCAATTAGCATACAGTATGAAAGCATGTTTGCATTCATTATCTGTTTTGCAAGCACCGGGCTCGCGCATCATACTAACTGCATTGTATTTTCAATTCCAAGTTGAATACATGTTAGCTGTAGCATTTCATATGTCATGTTAAGAATGGCTGATCTGCTATAGTTGCACTTTTGCATGTGTTGCATTAGGCATTTCTGTATAATTAGGATCATGCATGGATTTTCTAATTAGTTTCTGTTTTGGCTCGGAGTACTCGTAAGTTTTATGCTTTAGCATCCTTACATGCGTGTGAGTGACTGCCCTGAAATGCATGCTTACCATGAGGCTATATGCTTATGTGATATAACTGCCTGAATGCCTTGTAGGTGAAGGTTGGGTTATTTGGATTGGAACAATTCGTTGATTGTGAGTTTTAAGCCCACTAGATAGTGGTAAAACCATGTTTTCTAAGCCCACCCGAGGGTGGCAAAATCTGCATTTTAAGCCTACTTGCGAGTAGCAAACCACTTCCAAATAAACAAACACGGATGTTTTGTTCCAATTTAGGCGATCCAGTCTATACTTATATGTTGTGTGCATCACATAGTAACCTAGGCTAATAACCGGATTAAGGACACACAAAGTTTTCAAAAATATATATCATGGTTAGTAGAGGCCGATCTTTGATCGGGCGAGCGGGGGTGCTCACGAAGTGACCTTCCCCAATCGTACCCAAGTTTCCGAGCCGAGGCAACTTTGGTGATGACGGACACGTGGCCTTAGGCAAACGAGTCAGGGTTTCCTAAATTTTCCCAAAATAAAACATTTAGGTGGCGACTCTGTATCTGGCAAAGCAGTCCATGTTTGGCACTTCTTTCAAAATCTGTTTTCTCAAAACGATTTGCCGGATTTGGACTCTTTGGTTTAGATTTAGAACCGTGACAATTAGAGAGTCCTGAACTTGTAGTGAACCCAATGCGAATAGAACGGGGGAGCCATCCCTCCCGAGGCATTCAGGGACGTCTACAGTAGGTGCCTCTTGAAGTAATAAATGTTGTTTTCTCTTGATCTGGGCCGAACAGTGGTATCTGGTGATAGCCGCTATAAGCGTCCAGAAAGCTCA